AGCCATATCATGAGACTGTCAATAAAGGAGAGTGAGACCACATTCACACTAATCCACATCACAGATTTACAAGAGATAGGAAGATATCACGACTTTTCAACAACGTTGAAAAATTACAAACAAACAAACAAATAAATAAATAAATAAAAGTTCAGGTTAAAACAGAAGCTCTGTGTGTCCAATGTTAGTTTCTTCTTCAGAGGGAATGTTCAAGTTCAATCCTGCTCAGTAGATGTAAGTGAAAGTAGCAGGAAGGACATAGTGTTAATTCCTCTCTTATTAAAGTTCTTGCTGAGTTAGGTCTGGTTGAGCTTAATTTAAACCAGCTGAAGCTCAATGAGCAGAAATGGAAATGACACTGGTAAGAGGAACTGTATCTTTACTTCAGAAAAAGAGTACAAAAGAAAAGAAATGCCTTCAGAATTTCAGAAGCTATAGAGCATGACCATGTATTTTCTGAATGGTGACGATGAAAGGAGACCAGTGAACGCAGTTCAAAATGACTGTCTATCTAGCAATTTGTCAGGAAAAAGAAATAAAAGGAATCCAAATAGGCAATGAAAAAGTGAAACTCTCGCTGTTTGCAGACAACACGATCTTATATATAGAGAACCCCAAAGAATCCATTGGAAAACTTAGAAATAATCAACAGCTACAGCAAAGTTGCAGGGTATAAAATCAGCATACATAAATCAGTAGCATTTCTATACTCTAATAACAAACTAACAGAAAAAGAACTCAAGAACTCAATCCCATTCACAATCGTAACAAAAAGAATAAAATACCTTGGGGTAAATTTAACCAAGGAAGTGAAAGACCTATACAACGAAAACTACAAGACTTTCCTGAAAGAAATTGATGACGACATAAAGAGATGGAAAGACATTCCATGCACATGGATTGGAAGAATAAACATAGTTAAAATGTCCATACTACCTAAAGCAATCTACAGATTCAACGCTATCCCAATCAGAATCCCAAGGACATTCTTTACAGAAATTGAACAAAGAATCCTAAAACAAAAGACCCCGAATTAGTAAAGCAATCCTGAGAAAGAAGAGCAAAGCTGCAGGCATCACAATCCCTGACTTCAAAACATACTACAAAGCTACAGTAATCAAAACAGCATGGTACTGGTACAAAAACAGGTGCACAGATCAATGGAACAGAATTGAAAGCCCAGAAATAAAACCACACATCTATGGACAGCTAATCTTCGACAAAGGAGCTGAGGGCCTACAATGGAGAAAAGAAAGTCTCTTCAACAAATGGTGCTGGGAAAACTGGACAGCCACATGTAAAAGAATGAAAATTGACCATTATTTTTCACCATTCACAAAAATAAGCTCAAAATGGATCAAAGACCTAAAGATTAGACCTGAAACAATAAGTCTTCTAGAAGAGAATATAGGCAGTACACTCTTTGACATCAGTATTAAAAGGATCTTTTCAGACATCATAACTCTTCAGATGAGGGAAACAATACAAAGAATAAACAAATGTCACTTCATCAGACTAAAGAGCTTCTTCAAGTCAAGGGAAAACAGGATTGAAATGAAAAAACAACCCACTAGTTGGGAAAAAACATTTACAAGTTATATATCTGACAAAGGGTTAATCTCCATAATATATAAAGAACTCACACAGTTCAACAACAAAAAATCAAACAACCCGATCAAAAAATGGGCAGGGGACATGAACAGACATTTCTCCAAAGAAGATATACAAATGGTCAACAGACACATGAAAAGATGCTCATCATCACTAATCATCAGGGAAATGCAAATCAAAACTACACTAAGATATCACCTTACACCTGTTAGAATGGCAAAAATAACCAAAACGAAAAGTGACAAATGTTGGAGAGGTTGTGGAGAAAAAGGAACCCTTATACACTGTTGGTGGGAATGCAAACTGGTGCAGCCACTGTGGAAAACAGTATGGAGATTTCTCAAAAAATTAAAAATAGAAATACTATATGACCCAGCCATCCCACTACTGGGTATCTATCCAAAGAACTTGAAATCAGCAATTCCAAAAGTCCCATGCACCCCTATGTTCATTGCAGCATTATTTACAATAGCCAAGACATGGAAGCAACCTAAGTACCCATCAACTGATGATTGGATAAAGAAGATATGGTATCTATATACAATGGAATACTACTCAGCCATAAAAAAGGATAAAATCGCCCCATTCACAACAACATGGATGGACCTCGAGGGTATTATGTTAAGTGAAATAAGCCAGATAGAGAAAGACGAACTCTGTATGACTCCACTCATAGGTGGAAGTTAAACATATAGACAAAGATAACTGATTGGTGGTTACCAGGGGAAAGGGGGGATGGGGGGAGGGCACAAAGGGTGAAGTGGTGTACCCACAACATGACTAACAGTAATGTACAACTGAAATTTCGCAAGGTTGTAAACTATCATAATCTTAACAAAAACTTAAGAAAAATGACTATCTAATGCTCTGAGGTAAATTTAACTATTTATCCAGGTCCATAATATATTCATCAGATTACAAACCCGTGAGAACTTTTAATGAAAAAGTATAGCCTTACTTTGACTTCCTGCTAACATAGGGGAGATCGGTTAGTCCAATCTCCTTGTTTCTATCAATAAAGGTTTATTTCGGAAATTCTTAAGAGCCATTCTAAATTAAACCTGTGCACGATATTGATTCTTTTAAATACCCAATGGCTCCCTGACAATTGGATATTCAGTGCTGGTCCAAGTTTAACCATTCCTCAGTAATTATTTCTCTCTTTATTTGCAACTCATAGTTTTGGCAACAGTGTAATTATTGTGCTGTCTAACACTAACCTGCTTTTTCACATAGTCTACTGTTTGCCCCCAAATTTCAACACCTATATATGTTTTCAGAAGTTGCAATGATGCAATCTTCATGTCTAAATTAATTTATATGGCAGATTGTAAAAACTCTCTTGTATAGCCTTCCATAGCTTAGCATTATAGATGTTGATGATGATGATAATGAAACTCATAATCCATCCTTCCTGTATGAGTCTTCCAGTGACGTGACTACGCTTCCTGCTGATTCTACGCTATCCTCAACCATCAAAGAATTCTTTGCCTAGATGGTCGTAATTGTTCTTTAAACAGTGACTAGTTTATTAAGAATTATTATTAGGAGCAGGCAGAAAGGGACAGAGGATCTTTAGTTTAATAAATATGTAAATAGTAAATTACCAATTATCTGCTTATCACTTCCAGTCTCTGTAACTTGCTGTTTTCTCAAGCCATTCTTTCAGACTCTTTGCATATATTATCTTATTCAATTCTCATAAAAAAGTACTCCCTCAGGTTGAAGGAGGAAACTGTAACATTTATAACTTTTAGTAAAACTAGTATAAATTTGATAAATTTGAGGGATTTTGGCTTCTAGAATTCAGTAAATCTCTGCTCTCCTGGCAATAATGCAGCTTCCTTATTTTGACACTGGCTGATCTATCATACCACGAAATACCAGTGAATACTGGACTTGTTATTGTACATTTATGGACAAATAGCACAGTTTTGACTTAATTCTCTTAAAAAGGGGGAAATGAACTTTTTCACTGTAGCACCTACCACCATAGTAGTTAATAACTTATGTGTAATTAAGAAATATACAGTGGAGAGAAACGGACCTGTGATGTATTTAGAAATTAGCAAGAACTGAGGACTATTAATACCTGGATGTTAACTAGTATTAAGCCTAAATTGATTACTGCATGATGAGATAATCAATAAAAATTATTTTCCAAAAGCCACTCATTAGTTCAACTGACATTATGAAAAATCTAATATGTACAAGGAGTCATAAGGCATAATAGATAGATGTGTAGGATAGTGGAGGGAATGTATTTCATTTATCTATTGATGCATAACACATCATGCCACATTTTTTTTTTTTTGGTTTAAAACAACAACAATCATTTATTTGTTTACTCTTCTAGAATTTTGGCAGGACTTGTTGGGGACACCTTGTCTCTGCTCCATGTGGCATCGACTGGGATGACTCAACTGGGATTGGAAAATCCACTCCCAGCATGGTTTACTCATATGGATAGCAAGTTGATGCTGGCTGTCGTCTGTGATCTCAGTTGGAGCTGTAGACCAGAGCCTCAGTTCTCTTGCATGTGGCCTTTGCACAAGGCTAGGTGGGGCTTCTCACCACACAGTGACTGGGTTCTGAAAGGAAGACGGTAAGTCCCAATGCACAAAGGCTTATCAAGCCTTGGCTTGCTTCATGCTTACTAATACCCCACTGGCCAGCACTAGCTATGTGGCCAAGCCCAGAGTCAGTGTGGGAGAAGACCATGCAAGGGTCTGAGTACTGAAGAGAAGCCTGTTTAATTGGCGGCCAAAGTAGCAGCCTACCGTAGCAGAGTGGCTGGAGAGTTATAATACAAGGAATGTACCCTGTCCTGCCTTCAAGTTTCCCACACATAGGAAACCTCTTGAGCACTAAGAATGTTTTACTGTACATCCCAGTGGGTATATGTGGGGGACAATTGTTTACTCAGGACAACCGTTTGCTTATGGTATTGTATTACAGATGTGACAACTGAAAATAAAAAAGTGTAACCATGAGCCCAGTAATCACCTCATGGACTGGAGTCCAGGAGAGGGCATTTAGCACCCTGATACCAACTTATTTCTTGCTGTCAATTCTGCAGTGAAGCTAGGGACATGTTTCAACTGTTCCAGGCCGTTTTATAACTTTACTTGTTTGCATAAAGCATTATGGTAACTCGGGCTATGTCCTTAGGCAAATCATTCACCTCCTTAGGTTTCGTTTTCCTTGTTTCTCAAGCAAGGAGTTGAATTAGGTGATCTCTACAGTTCCTGCCCATTGTTATATTTCACTATGTAACAATACAGTTATAATATTATAGAATAACAACAATGAAAAAATGTGTTTGTTTCTTGACAAGCACATTCCTTTGACTAGTTTGAGTCAGCAAAGCTAACTGATAACTAAATAGCGAATGTGAGTTTCCTCTGGGCTTACCTATTTGTTCCCTAACAGGTTCTGATGTGGAAGGTGGAGCGGCAATGGCTCCTGGCTTTGCCACTACAGCTCTTTCTCTGCTCTGAAACTGGTTAACTCCTGCATTACTTATCTTACAAGGTGGCTAAGAAGATAACTTGAGATAAGAGAAGCGAGAGTACTTCGCTTTGATTAGGGATTGAGTTCTTTTCTGTCCCTCTGACCACATCGTGCTAGATTCTGACAGTTTTGTGTTAGTCTTTGGTAAAAAATAGAGGAAGTCACTCTGAGTTATGTATTCATTAACCTCTGGAAGACAGCTCTGCCCACACCAGGAGGTGAGACCTCACGCTCTCAACTTTGTTGCTAAATCTGTAAATCTGTGACTTTTTAAATAAAACCCAAGGGACTGCACCTGAAGAAGAAAAAAATGGGATATTTTAAAGAAGCAATTTAAAATACCTCTTGCTGAGATTGTGCCTTCTTCCCTTCCCCTTGTTAGAATGCACCAACTATTTTAAAAGGCATTTTTTTTCTAACTTTAGTTTCACTTTCGCATGTGTAGGAAACTTGCCACACTTCCCTGATGAAAACGACTGGATTTGGATTAATGAAAAAAGGAGTGGTCAGCTGTCCTCAGAGTAAGTGAAGGTATATATTTTCAATTCTTATTGGTATAGGGTGTTTCCTGTTGGGCAAAGCTAGAAGGCAGGTTGGTGTTCGCGTTCTTTGGTCTTTCTTTGATTTGGTGCTTGAAATCCAGGCAGAATCATTCAGCAAGGACAGTGGGAGAAAAGGGAGCTAAATAGCCCTGCAGAGAAGTGTTTCATAACCCAGAGTACAAGGAATAGCAACCATTTCTAACTAACACAATAAAATACTTTATGCAGTAATTAATTTTTTTTCCTTTTGTGGAATTCTGTATCTGGAGAAGCACATTAGGGAAGCTATGAAAATTGTTTTGCAACTGCCTTTTTAAAAAAATCAGGTTTGTCTTAAAGACACACAGAGTTTATTTTGTTTTTTCAGTTTTGCTGGCTGGAGAGGAGACAGGAGCTGGCATTTTGTGTTAATGTGCTTGAAAAGGAGAGAGCACTCCAGGTGTTTCTAGGAGTGAAAACATGGCTTTCTTTGGCCTGATGAAGGAAAACCGAGGAAGATGAGAAGTGGAAAGACTTTCAGATGTACAGGAAACTCAGTAATCAGCATTGGCAGATGTGGGTTAGTAACTCAGTAATCAGCATTGGCAGATGTGGGTTAGTCGGAGTCAGCCTGGGGTAGTACTGGTTCCAGGAAGTCGCCTTCCAACTTTTGAACGCAATTATGTGTTGGTGTATGTCTGTATGCAAGTGTATCTGGATAAATTTAAGAAAAAAAATATTGTGACTTTGCAAACCAAACTGTACAAGCCAAACTGTAACAATTGGTTAGCTAGTAGCTAGTGGCTCCAGACTCCATGTCCTAACCGTGATATAATATTGTCTCTCACTTGGACAAAGAAATAGTAATCCTTTGCACCCTGAGAAGGCGTTCCAAAATTGCAAGGCCCAAGGAATCTATTTTTCATTTGTTTTTAGCTTTCTCTGTTTCTGTTACATTTCATTCAACAGCAGTTTTTTTCTTCACTTTCATTTCATCCTCTAAATGTCTTTTTGTTTGTTTGTTTTACAGAAGTACATTCTATAATAACTTTTTCATATGGGTTGCATAGTTATAAACTTACTGAATCTTTGCATATCTCAAAATAATTTTCCCTCTTATCTTTAATTGTTCAGCTGGAAATGAAATTTTAGGTTCAAAATTAATTCCCCTGCACGTTTTGAAAGCTTATCACTATTGTCTTCTAATGGCTGATGTTGCTGATGACAAGTTTTGTATCAATCAGGGTCTCTTTCCTTTGGAAATAATTGATCATATGTTCTCCTAGAAGGTTTTAGGAATTTTTGTGAATGGTCACAATTCTGTAGTTTTATATGATTCTCTCTGTGTGTTTTCCTTTTTTCACTCATCCTGCCTAGCACTTGGTGAGTCATTTCCATCTGATGAAGTGTATCTTCAGATCCAGGAATGTTTTTCAGTCTTTCATGGATGTGCATTGTAAATGGTTTAGTCCTTTTCAGGAATTCTGATCTCTATCTACAGTCCTTCCAGAAAAGGTAAATGTCACCTAGATGAGGAGAATACATTGCAGGACTGTACCTGAGCGTTTGTAAATTGAGACAGTATCCTTATGGTAACGGGGAGGAGAGGTTTGGAAGAATCTCACAGAGGTGGGGGGTGAGGAGCTGGTCCCTGATTTCTAGAATGTATCATTTCCAGCCTCACATACTTCGCGCACCTGAGCAATTTGTAAGGGGCGTCCTAGCTGGCGTGGGCTGTGATGTTCCTCATAGCCTATGGATGTGAACATTGTGTGTAGCTTTAAACATAGTTAGTGCTAGTATTATAAAGCCCATAGAGTGGGAATGTTCATTTATGGACACTGATTTTCTTCTGTTTCTGAGAACTAGGTAAGAATGAAAGTAAAACCACTTCATTTTTAAAAGCATATTAGAACAATTCTAAATACTAATACTAGTTCTATTTTCCTGGAATTAATAATCTCAAATGACTTTATTCTCTAAAACTTAGCTGGAATTCTTCTTGTCTCATGACTTTTAGATCTTATGAAAAATCTATTTAAATATCATTATCATTGCTCCATCTCCACACGTTGAGAATATATGCAATTTTTTTCAATATCCAAAAGTGAAACTAGATAAATTATCATACCAGGGACTACCACATCAGTACGCTTCCCACTAAAATCAAGTGACTATATGTGGAGATGAGTGGTTTTCTTGAACTGATTAGCTACCCGTGTAGCTAATTATTATTCAGTCCTGGTTATGTTCCAGTCATTTTTCTAGGCACAGGTGGCACTGTACAAAATAAAAAACATCATGGCCTCTACTGTGATAGCTTTACGTTCTAGTAAGGAGGGATAATTAAATCAATAATGAAAAAAATATTTCAGATGATCCCCATCAATCATAGCATGGAAAAAGCAATCTAGTAAGAGAATAACAAAATGGGAAGATTTATACTTCTGACTTCAAGACTTACCATAAAACTACAATAATCAAAACAGTGTGGTGTTTGCGTAAGAACTGGTAATATTTCAGTGGAAGAGAGAGACCCCAGACACAGGTCACACCTAAACAATCCTTTGGTTTTTAAAAAAGGCGCTGAAGCAATTCCGTTGAGAAAGGAAGGTCATTTCAAGAAAAAAAAAAAAGTGGTCTGACTAAGTGGATGTGCACTTGAAAAAGATGAATCTTGACTCCTGTTTCACATGATGCAGAAAAATTAAGAGAGATCACAGACCTTAACATAACAGTTAAAACCATAAATCTCTTAAAAAGTGTAACTTGGGAGTAGGCAAGGACACAGTTTCTTAGGACACAGAAAGCAATAATAACAAAAGAAAAAAATGATAAATTAGAATTTATCATAATTAAGAAGACACTATCATTCATTAAGAAAATGAATGGGTAACTCACAAAATGGGAAGAAATAGTCACAAAATATAAATCTGGCTAAAGGGGGCTAACCCCGTGGCTGAGTGGTTAAGTTTGTGCACTTCACTTCTGTGGCCCAGGGTTTCACTGGTTCGGATCCTGGGCATGGACCTAGCACTGCTCATCAGGCCATGCTGAGGTGGCGTCCCACATAGCACAACCAGAAGGACCTACAGATATAATATATAGCTATGTACTAGGGGGATTTGGGGAGAAGAAGAAGAAAAAAAGAAGACTGGGGACAGATGTTAGCTCAGAGCCTATCTTTAAAAAAACAAAAATCTGACAAAGGACTCATACTTGTACAAATTTATATATATAAAATTCCTGTAACACAATAATAAAAAAGAAACAACCTAAATAATCAATGAGCAAAATATTTGAACATACAAGGGAAGATACACAAATGGACAATAAGCACGTGAAAAATTGTTAAATATCATTAGTCAGCAGGGAAATGCAAATTACAACCATAAGAGATATTATTACTACACATCCCCTAGAATGACTAAAAGTAAAAGAGCTAATAGTACCATTTGGTAAAGGTGTTGGTGAGAGTGTAAAATGGTACAAAATTTTGCCAAAAGTTCCGGCAATTTCTTATGAAACTAACGGTACACTTACTAAATGACCAGCAATTTCAATCCTGGGTATTCACCCCAAAGAAATCAAGTATATATGTCCATAAAAACATGTACAAAAATGTTCATACTAACTTTATTCATAATAGTAAAAAACCTCACACAACCCATGTGTCTGATAATCAGAGCATGGACAAGGTATGATATTACTCATACACTGGAATACCTCTCAGTTACTAAAAGAAAAGAACCACTGAAACATGCAACATGGATGAATTTCAGCAATACTGTCTGGGTGAAAGAAGCCCTCTTTAAGAGAGTGAATATGATCCCGCTGATGTGAAGTTATAAACCACACAAAGATAATCCACAGTGGAAAAAAGTCAGAGCAGTGGTGGTCTCCGAGAGATGAGATTGGAATTAACTGGGAAAGGTATGGGGAAACTCTCTAGAGTTTGGGGTGCGCAGGTCAGAGAACGCACATAAAGATTTGTGCATTTCATTGAATGCAAACTTCACATCGAAAGGAAAAACTCTATTAATGAATATTGGATTGGAGGTAGTAATGCACACTCTTTAGAGGGAAGGTTCTCATGTTGCAGAATACCTTCATGAACTGATGATGGATACAGGATGGATAGATGGGTAGATATATGGCAACACATGGGTGTTCACTATAAAGTTCTTTGAATTGTGCTGTTTAGGGTTTTTCATTAGAAACGTTGGAAAAAAATTAACTGTGATATAGCCATATTCTGTATGAATGGGTTATTCTACAGCAATGAAAATAAACAAATGCTGCTACAGGACAAGATGTGGATGAATCTCACAAACCTAATGTGGAGTAAAAAAAGACATGAAATGATATGTAGTGCACGATTCCATTAATAGATAATACAAAAGCAGGTCAACTTAATCTTTTGTGTAAGAAATCACAAAACGCTTGTCTTTGGGAATGAGGAGGTGGTGGCTAGGAGGGAGCTGAGGGAGGTCTCTGGGGTGTTCTTAGTGTTCTGTTTCCTGATCTGAGTGGTGAATACATTGATATGCTCACTTTGTGAGAATTTAACAAGCTGTCCACTCATGATTTGTGAACGGTTCTGTATGTATTTAAAATATAATTGCTAAAATTAAAGAATTATATGTCAATATAAGTCCTGATCCAGTATATATCAATATATATATTGCTAAAGTGTATATCGATATAAGTCCTGACACAAAATCTAAGCTTATGTCTAGGAATATAGAATAAAAAGATTAAAAGGTAACTTTAAATATAAAGAAGATCACACAGCAAGCACAATGAGAACCTGAAAGTGGTTCCAAAGGAGAGAACATAGGAGAAGGACAAAAGGAAATGATCATAGTGAGAATACAAAGAGAAATCATAGAAACTTAGGGAAGATACGAACCTGAAGATTGAAAATACCAGAGTGTATAGTCACGTTAAAGGAAAGATTTAGCGTGATACATCATTGTGAAATTTTACATTACCAAGGACAAAGAAAAGATCCTAAAAGCTTCCAAAGAGAAAAAGGAAAGGAAAATAAAAGAATCCCTTATTTTAATAAAGGGAAGAAAATCAGATGGGCATCAGATTTCTTTCTAGCAATACTGGATACTGGATATTAGAAAACAATGGAATAATGCCTTCATGATTTTGCATTAAAATGATTTTGAATCTCAAATAGCCTACATGTCAAAATCATGAGGACAAAAACAACAAAAAACAGACATACGAGAACTTAGAAAGATAACCTTCTATAAACGTTTTGGGGAGGGAGGGAGAAAGAACTACTCAAGGAGATACTCTAATCAAAGAATATACAAGCAGCATTAATCTAGGAGCTCAGAGAAATGGATTCTGTGATGATAGCCAACAAGTGGCAGGTGTTGGACGTATCCATCAAAATTGGCCATTCAACCAAGAGTACCATTAAGAAGCCGGATGATCTTGGTGTGATGGAAATGAAGCCACATATAATTTTTCTTTCAACAAGAATAAAATAAGGGAAATTATCAACTTCAAAAAAGTCATGGTCCAAAAAAAGCAGCAAACCAAACAAGGCATAATTCTGAAGAATCGATTTAGCATAAGGGAGACAAATTCATGTTGCCTTCAATCTTCACCAGTCACCTCCTTGTAAGCATAGGGTTATACCTTCTGCATTCAACTGCACTGATGTTTTATTCATGGGCAATATAAATTCCTTACAAACTCTATTTAATGCAAAGATTCCACAACTGAAATCCTATTTCCTTTCGTTTCTGTGCACAAAACTGTGATTGTTACTTAAGGCTCTTCAAATCGTCCATTTAAAACATCAAACACAATTATGTTTAATTTATAAGAATTACAAAAATTTTACATAAAAATCAAAGCAGTGTATTTAATGTCCTAAGCAATTTTTATCGGATGTATAAAAGATTGCTATTAATACTCGTAAAGGCTTCTGGATTTTGTGAATGATGTATTAGCAAATGCTTAAACTTATTACTTTCAATCTTTAAACCAAGCAGAAGGGTAAAGTGACTATGGATGTGTCATAACCCAGGACTTTCTTTTCATGCTTTAAAGTGAAATTGATGAACAGAGCAATTTTAAAGGAATCTGGCCTCCGTAAATGAAGATCATTTGTAGCTGTGTGGAGAAGATACTGGTTGCTTCCTAGCCTGTGAAAGCAGCCCCAGAGTCCGTGCTATAGCTTGCCACCTAACCCAAGGTTGCGTTAATAAGGAGCTTCTCAAATCTTTTCAACCATCTGTGAACTTCCTTGAATTTCAATTATGTTACATGCTTGGCTCCCTCTACTATTTCCTTCTTGTTGAATGGTTAGTTATGATTGTCTCATGATATAAATTGTCTTTGTTTTATATAGATTTTCTTTATAGTAAAAAATTTACAAAATAGAAAAGTTATAATTATTCATGTGTAAATCATGGGATTATCGCACTGATCAATAATAGGAATAGCATCAAATGTTGCTCTGTGTCAGATACTGTAAGGTTTATCTCCCTTAATCCTCACAACTGTCTAGGAGGGAGGAGCCACTGTAGTTATCTCTGCTTACAAGATAAGGAAACTAAGGCCTGAGGAATGAATTGATTTGCTAGAGGCTACAAAGCGGAGGAGCCAGGATCAGAATGCACAGTGTAATTCCAGGGTTTGTTTTCTTAATCACTATGTTTTTCTGTCTTACTCATACTGCAGTGAATACCTATTTATATAATCATAAAATTGTAAATGATATTCATTGAGTTTAGGTTTTCCGAATTGATCTAGACCAAGCATGTCAGACTTCATCATGGTTTCAGGATAAAAATGGTAAGATTTTATATCTTGACAATGTCAAGCAATGTTATAGCTGACAGTTTTAGGAAACATAAGGATAGAAGAAGTGAGATAAAAATATAGGAGTGTACATTTCCTGTATCACAGTGTGAAGAGTCAAGAGATTTGGTGTAAAGGTGGTTGATCAAGGAATAGAGATTTAGGCATGTCTTCAAGATTATAAATGTAACAATGGATTAAATTTAAAATAACTAAGGAAAATATGAAGAGGATGAAGGAATAGTATAACTATGTTCCTTATCTTTATAGTGGGAAGAAAATAATATCAGTAAACGAAGAAACAGAAACGTAAGCATTTTATTTAGTTTTGTGGAGGTGACCCTAAGAATTAAGAATAGAAATAGTCAAGAGGTTACACTGGAATGTTGCAAGTGGGGTGGAGGTGAAGAATGAGGAGAGAGCTTGTATGTTCCATTTTTTACTTTTCTGTGCTGTTGAATTATTTCCATTGGATGTATTACTTGTATATTACATACTTGTATATCATAAAAGTTATGAGTAAGAAGAGCATACATAGTCACATTTGGTTATATATTTTACAAGGAATATACCAATGCAGAGGAAAGCATGTGCTGTTAATGTTGTCCATACCTTTTATATTTCTTTCATAGGACAGAATCATGAGTCAGAGTTTGCCTTATCACGTCTACTCCTTTTTGAGACTGTTGCCCTTTTGGGTCCTGTGTGCATCCTGCAACAAGTGTGCTGTTAGACATGAAGTAGCTGACTGCAGTCACCTGAAGTTGACTCAAATACCTGATGACCTCCCAGCAAACATAACGGTGTTGAATCTCACCCATAATCAATTCAGAAGACTGCCACCTGACAATTTTACAAGATACAGCCAACTTACTATCTTGGATGGAGGATTTAACTGCATCTCAAAACTAGAGCCAGAATTGTGCCAAAAACTCCCTTTATTGGAAATTTTGGACCTCCAGCACAATGAGCTGTCTCAATTTTCTGATAAAACCTTTATGTTCTGCATGAATTTGACTGAACTCCATCTAAGGTCCAACTCAATCCAGAAAATTCAAAATAATCCCTTTAAAAATCTGAAGGTAAGATGAAAATATTCATTTTCATATAGGAAATAAAAAATGTTATCTAGGGGCCAGCCCTGTGGCCAAGTGGTTAAGTTCACATACTCCACTTTGGCGGCCCAGGGTTTCGCTGGTTTGGATCCTGGGCGTGGACATGGCATCGCTTATCAGGCCACGTTGAGGCAGCGTCCCACATGCCACAACTAGAAGGATCCACAACTAGAATATACAACTATGTCCTGAGAGGATTTGGGAGAAAAAGCAGAAAAGAATAAAACAAGATTGTCAACAGTTGTTAGATTAGGTGTCAACCTAAAAAAAAAAAAGTTATCTAATGTTAAGTTTTCAAGTCACTTATTCATCCTTACACTTAATATCTGAATATCTAGGTGAAGAATAAGAAATTTGATTTGCCTAAATGGGGAGAGGGGGCACCCCACACACAAATATTGCCATTATGGTTGGAAATGTTTTTAAAAGAGAAAATGCCATTTAAATCAGTTATAATCTTAATTTTAAAGAACTCTGCCTCTCTCCCTTCCTCCTATTAGAAATAGAACTTAGAGGGGCCAACCTGGTTTCATAGTGGTTAAGTTCGTGCACTCCACTTTGGCGGCCTGGGGTTTGCAGGTTCAGATCCCAGGCGTGGACCTACACACTGCTCATCAAGCCATGCTGTGGTGGTGTCCCACATACAAGAGGTGGAAATCAGAGAAGAATCTTATCTGTGATGATCAGAGAAGAATCAGAATATCCCATGAGGAACATGGCAAATAAACTCTCAATGCTGCTAATTTAATAAGTCCAAATTCTGACTTCAATAAAGTTAACAAATTGGTACATGGTAAAGCAAGTTGTTCAACTAAAAATTACCTGCTCTTGATTTAAGAAATCTCCTCACAATATTGGTTTTCAAATGGCTATCCCCTTTTTCTTTTCAGCACTTTGCTTGAGTTTGAGATCTGTGAAAAATGTTTGTTACTGTTTCTAAGTCTGAGACAATTATTAATTGCTTTTCTTAAACCTAAGCCATTGTCAAAACCTTTGTTTCCTTCATTTAATGGACTTACACAAAACTAAGCATTCCTTGACCTCAGATGCCGAGAATAACGTTCAAATTTAAATATGCTTAGAAACATTTATAAAATGATTTGCTTGCTAGGGACTTGAAATTCTTTCTTGTGCCTTCTTTGATTCTGATGTGGATGAAATGTCTTTGCACACAGACCTCAAAATCTGGTTAGAGTAATCGTTGGCAATATGTTATTTTTATTTTTAAAACATAAATAACAGTCTTGTTCTGTTTAATAGACGTTACATAAGATTTTGTCCCAACATATATCAGCTTTTCCTTCCCTTTTACCTGAGTGGAAGGTCACATGTTCAAAAGCAGCAGAGAGGGATGAAATACTCAACCACGCTGACAAAACAAACAAACAAGATTGATATTCTGCACTAGCCATGATGCAGAATTTATATAACTGTCAATCTTTCTCAATATAAGATTTCATGAACAGCAAAGATCTACTCATCCTTTTTAAGAAAACAGATTTTTTCTTCTTCTTTCTGTTGTTTTGTGACAAGGCTGTTGCATGACACTATATGTTGATAAGCCACATGAATATTCTTTACATCATAAATAATTTCTTATTATAAATAAATACATGAATGCATGCTTCATAGGAATATTTCTTGTATCAAGAATAAACAAACGTAAGTCCTTTTATTTTGGTAAGAGAAATAAAGTGATCCTTGAAGTAAGAAACCAAATCCTTGTAACAATGATATTTTCAGACATAAGAAAGATTTTTTATTACTCCTATTGTTGTCTATAGAATAATACAGAGTTGATATATTGCTGTTGTGTTATTTCTAAAATTCATGTACACTTAGAGGAACTATTTTTGATGGCAAGACTCTAACATATACATGTTTTTTTCTCTCAGAATTTAATCAAATTAGATCTATCTCATAACGGTTTATCATCTACTAAATTAGGAACTCAGCTCCAACTGGAAAATCTCCAAGAGCTTCTGTTATCAAATAATAAAATTCAGGCACTGAGACGTGACGAACTTGATTTCCTTGGCAATTCTTCTTTGAAAAAGTTAGAGTTGTCCTCAAATCAAATTAAAGAGGTAAGAAGTAAGGTGAAATTATTATGTGTGCTACTTTTAAGTGCGGACACTTCCTAAATGTGTCATATGGGTAAGAATCTAAAAATCCCTAGAGAAAGAGGTTATGAGATTTTCCACGTCTTCCAGAAATTCTTCACATTTATTGCTTGGGCTCATTGATGTCTTCCTCACAAGGAAAGGAGTTGGGTGACAATTAGGAGCTGAGACTGACTCTGCTGTCAAACAGAAGTGGGTTAAAATCCCCGTTCCATTAGAAGCCAGTACTTTGACCTTGGAGAACTTACTTAACCTCTCTGGGTCTTAGTTTTCTCGCTGGTGAAGTGGAACGAATACCAAGTATCTCACAAAATCTCTGAAAGAACTGAAATAGCATGATGGTTAAGAGTGCAGTCTTTTGAGTTGAGTTAGCTGGCTCCCTATCTGGGCTTTCTCTCTTAATAATTATATGATCAGAACATTATTCACGTTCTCTCTGCTCCAGTTCCCCAGTTTTAAAATTGGTCTAATAATAACACTATTTCATTGGGCTGGGTGGTAAAGAATTTGGCACAGTGTCTGCTGTTCAGTAAGTGCCCCATAAATGACAACTAGCATTCAACTTTATAAAAACCTTCCCATAATGGAGTACACCTAACCTTCTCTTTATGAATCCATAATCTTCAATTTGTTAACTATTTTTGTATACAGGTATGTCAGTATTTTATTCCTTTACAGGCTGAGAATAAGACTATTGGAAATCGCAAACCAAATCAGAATTTTTTAAAGCTGTGTTAATTTTGAGACATAATTTGAGACTGTGTACAAAATTATCCTGAGATATTAATTGAATATTCTATGCAAGCTACTCCAGTTAATTTTTGAACAGCGTTTTTTTCTGTTTAGAGCCCGTATTGGAGAAATCTTATAAAATATATAAATAATGAGGGGGAAAATAAAAATCATCCAAAAGTCCACAATCCAGAGACAACCAGTGTTAGCATTTGGGTATGTTTATCTCCAGCTTTTCTCCAAATAATAAAAAGAAAATTAACAGCAGCCGAGAATCATAGATTGCTTGACTGTAAACTGTATGGCAGGCACTGTGACTAGTTCTTTTTAAATATTTTTTGATGTAATCCTGTAATACAGTCCAACTTGTTCTCATCACTTTACACAAGAGTAAAACAAGATGAAGAAAGATTAGGGAACTTCTCCGAGGTCTTGCAGGTGACCAGCTGGTGACAGAGCTGGGTTTCTGGTAGTGTTAGACCAGGCGCCATGCTCTTACAGCTGTGCTATGTTGCCTCTTTGAGGATGACAGTGTATCCTGCCGTGTAAAAGTAATACTGTATCACGCACATCCTCCATGTCATGAAGAACTATTCAAAAACTTAAATGCAGTGACTGCAAAGTAATCTTACCACATAGATTTACCATCATCAACTTAATCATTTCCTTCTTTGTATTTCGACTTACTTTACTTACACCAACGCACACTTCCTCCAACTTTCCTGTCTTTTCTTCCATTAGCCCTAACATCTCATATATGACATGGTGGAAATCAGAGCCTCTTGGCTCTCCTGGTGGACCTAACCACCAGGGACTGGCTACTATCCTGTTGATTCCTTCTCTCCTGCCTTCTGTTCTCTTGTTCCAGTGCTGAACCCTAGAGCAGCTAAGCCTTCTGGTGAGGGAAGAGGGGCAGAGCAGAAGGGAAACACTGTAACGAAATAAAGTCAGGAGAAAACCTTGGTGGAAAGCCAGAAAGGACCGCTGGAACTCAGAATTACGGAAGGGAAAGTGTGCATCACTGTTTCATAATAAACTCCATGCACTCATTCCACTGAGAAGGGTGATCACCAAGACAGAAACAGGATCTGCCCCGATGGTGACTTTACAAACAGTTTATGAATTCCAGTTATACTCAGTGTCATGAGGTAAAAGTACCAGGAGACTTAACCTGGACTGGGAGGGCAGGGAAGGCCCCCTGATGAAGTGGCATCTCAGCTGAGACATGAATGTTGGGTAGATGTCAACCAGTGGCCAGGGGAGATAAGGGGCTGGAGCGGGAGTTGGGTGTTACAGGCACAGAGCAAGGAGCTGTGCAGTAGAGGGATGGAGAGAAAACCCAGAGAAGGTGGGAAAGTAGAAGGGGGATTGGGTACAGAATTGTGTCTAAACTTTCAAGGGCTGTACAGACTGTTGCGTTTTGGTTATTAATCTTTTGTTTCTCCCACTTTCAGTTTTCTCCAGGGTGTTTTCAGGCAATTGGAAAATTATTTGGCCTCTCTCTGAACAGTGTCCAACTGGGCCCCAGTCTCACAGAGAAACTTTGTCTGGAATTATCAAACACCAGCATCCAGAATCTATCTTTGAGTAACACACAGCTGTACAGAACGAGCAATACAACTTTCTTTGGGCTAAAGCAGACAAATCTCACCATGCTCGATCTTTCCCACAACAACTTAAATGTGATTGGTAATGATTCCTTTGCTTGGCTTCCCCATCTGGAATATTTCTTCCTGGAGTATAATAATATAGAGCATTTGTATGTTCACTCCTTTTATGGGCTTTTCAATGTGAGATACCTGAATTTGAGACGATCTTTTACTAAGCAGAGCATTTCTCTTGCTTCGCTTCCCAAGATTGATGATTTTTCCTTTCAGTGGCTAAAATGTTTGGAGTATCTTAACATGGAAGATAATAATTTTCCAGGCATAAAAAGCAATATGTTCACAGGATTGGTAAAGCTGAAACACTTAAGTCTGTCCAACTCCTTTTCAAGTTTGCGGACTCTAACAAATGAAACATTTCTATCACTCGCTCATTCTCCTCTACTCACACTCAACCTAACCAAAAACAAAATCTCAAAACTAGAAAGTGGTGCTTTTTCTTGGTTGGGCCACCTAAAGATACTGGACCTTGGCCTTAATGAAATTGGGCAAGAACTCACAGGTCAGGAATGGAGAGGTCTAGAAAATATTTTTGAAATCTACCTGTCCTACAACAAATACCTACAATTGACTAGCAACTCTTTTGCCTTGGTTCCAAGCCTTCAAAGACTGATGCTCCGAAGGGTGGCCCTTAAAAATGTGGACAGCTTCCCTCCACCTTTTCGCCCTCTTCATAACTTGACCATCCTGGATCTAAGCAACAACAACATAGCCAACATAAATGATGAACTGTTGGAGGGTCTTGAGAAACTAGAAGTTCTGGATTTGCAGCATAACAATTTAGCACGGCTCTGGAAACACGCAAACCCTGGTGGTCCTGTTCATTTTCTAAAGGGTCTTTCTCACCTCCACGTCCTTAACTTAGAGTCTAACGGCTTTGATGAGATCCCAGCAGAGGCCTTCAAGAATTTATTTGAATTAAAAAGCATTAATCTAGGACTGAATAATTTAAACATACTTCCGCCATCTGTCTTTGACGATCAGGTGTCTCTGAAGTCACTGAGCCTTCAGAAGAATCTCATCACATCAGTTGAGAAGAATGTTTTTGGGCCAGCTTTGAAGAACCTGAGTAGTTTAGATATGAGCTTTAATCCATTTGATTGTACATGTGAAAGCATTGCCTGGTTTGTTAATTGGATTAATGGTACCCATACCAACATCTCTGAGCTATCAAGTCATTATCTCTGCAACACTCCACCTCAGTATCATGGTTTCCCAGTGATGCTTTTTGATACATCATCCTGCAAAGACAGTGCCCCCTTTGAACTTCTTTTCATGATAAATACCAGTTTCCTATTGATTTTTATCTTTATTGTACTGCTCATCCATTTTGAAGGCTGGAGAATATCTTTTTACTGGAACGTTTCAGTGCATCGAGTTCTTGGTTTCAAAGAAATAGACAGCCAGCCAGAGCAGTTTGAGTATGCAGCATATATAATTCACGCCTACAAAGATAGGGACTGGGTCTGGGAACACTTCTCCCCAATGGAAGAACAAGATCAAACTCTCAAGTTTTGTCTGGAAGAAAGGGACTTTCAGGCAGGTGTCCTTGAACTTGAAGCAATTATTAACAGCATCAAAAGGAGCAGAAAAATTATTTTCATTATAACACAGCATCTATTAAAAGATCCATTATGCAAAAGGTAGGTAAACATTGTGCAATTTTTAGTGTGTACTTGCTTTTCAATTGAGTTTTTAAATGCGACTAACATTATTACTCACAACTCAAGGAATTTTAAAAATAAAATTGAGAGAAAACATAACTTGATTTTTAGTGACAGGTTCAAGTAAACTCTAAGGGGAATTTTAGATTGTAGAGCTTTTGACTGTCAAAATATGTATATTGATATATAACTTAGTTCAATAATGTTTTTCAATTAGATTCAAGGTGCATCATGCAGTTCAGCAAGCTATTGAACAGAACCTGGATTCCATTATATTGATCTTTCTTGAGGAGATTCCAGATTATAAACTGAACCATGCGCTCTGTTTGCGAAGAGGAATGTTTAAATCGCGCTGTATCTTGAACTGGCCAGTCCAGAAAGAACGGATAAATGCCTTTCATCATAAACTGCAAGTAGCACTTGGATCCAGAAATTCAGCACATTAAATGTTTTTAAAGACTAATTTACAAAGGCGTAATTTTCCCAATTTAAAAGTTCCATGTTAAATTTGTTTTATCTGAAAATAACATAAATCTGTTTATTCATATTTATAGGTGAGAATATTATATCACAATTATATCTCTTCCATGGAAATATGTCTCCCTACTTCAGGTGTTCCATTGCCAATTAACTTAATTTGACTCCAAATAAACGTAGAAGAATATCCTGTACTAAGGAATACTCAATTGGTTGCTGAGGCCTGTGACAATAATAATATTTAAAATATTCCTCATTTAAAGAAAAGTCAGAGTTTATGAGGATTTGTGATAATTACGTTTGGGTTTTTTTGGATGCATTCATAATAGAATAAAAGATAATTGTTTTAAAGGGTACAATGCTATTTCAGTTGTAAAAGAGCAAAATATATATCTACATTTTTAAAAGTTTAATTATGGTATTTTTTTTAAATTGAAAAGCTTTGTATTTTAGTAGTGCCTATCCAGTGCTGATTTCTTAAATGTTAAATACCATTTTAATATACCTTATAGAGGGCAGAAAACATTTGTCATTCATTTTGATTACTTAATAAAAGAAATAATTTAATAAAGACTTACTTATATTTTCCTGGTATTTGGATTTCTGCTGTAGGAGGTATTAGAAGAAATAACTCTCTTGCTTAAAAATATTGCAGAAAGGCTTGCTTCCTGAAGGTTAATTGGTGGATTGGCTTTGTGGAAACAAAAATTTGTCTTCCTCTGGTCACAGACCCAGGAGACAGCCCTGGCCGAATCACCTGGTGCCACAGCGACTCTTTGACTCCTTGAAAATTATGATAAACAAAATCTTAAAGATTCCCTTGTAATTAGCGATGATGGTCATGGTATAACACATTCACATGGAATCTATTATTCTACCTTAAAATAGTATACTATGTGTAAGTTAGTTCTTTTCTAGAAAGACTATTTTAAGTTTTGTTTTTGTTTTACAATAAAAAGAGTCTAATTCTTGGAACTAGACAAGAATAAATTTTTAAAACCTTTATATTCAAATATAAGAGAGGGTTGACATTATGCTGAGTTACTTTCTGTACTTGAAGGGCCCATTCGTCTGCTGAATTTAGGGAGCTTTTGCGATGTCACATTTGGGAACTTTAAGGAGTTCAGTGTTCTCAGGGCTAAAGTTGACACAATTCTGGAAAATTAATACCCGCTGTACTGCTGGTTCTGGGAGTCTACAGTCCCCCGACATCGTGACTATACAGAGGTCTCATTTTCCCTTTCACATTACGCACCATCCTTCCACAGGAGACACTTGTTTTACAGCCTTTTCATTAAGATTTGTTTTCTAACTGTAAAACAATGCTGGTTTACTCTGGCATCATAAAATAAAAAATCACAGCTACTTTTTTTCTTGATGCAGTTTGGATGTTATCTATCAATATTCTCAACTGCATTAAAATGTCTCTAAATCAATGATTACTATGAATTAACCAATCCATGATCAATTTGTGAAAAGCAGGGCGGGAAGTAATTTTGCTTTCATTGTCTTGTTTGTTTGCTTATGAAGTAGTTGATCAAAGGGCCACCATTTAAATGGAGTCCAAATGTAATTTTTAAAAAGTTGCTTTATATTTAAGAGGTTAGGCTACACAAGAGATGATCTGTTTAACTGAGTATAAATGAAACTAATAAAAGGTGTAACTTTTATTGACGTGACTTGTGTTTGACCTACACAGGAAGCAACATCCTGAACTTCTGCAAGCTGTCTTTTATAATTGTTCTCAGGAGGATCCTCCTCCCTTGAGTTCAAGACAAGGGGAGAGGAGTAAAGGATGTTTGTCTGACAGATTGATTTCCACAAGTGAACCGACTTGCTTAAATGCCCTCATGGTGCCATCATGTCATCTGTTCACTCCAAGTTCTTCTTCCTATTGTTCACTTTCAAAACAAATCCCAGCTGAATCAACCATATTGAGTTTAAAATAAATCTGGGTGTTTAGATTCTACCTAAAAATGACATCTTTTCGATTATAAGAAGAAGTAGAAACAATTTGTTAGTGAGGAAGGGGGTTTTCAATGCCATTTGTTTAACAGTGTTTAATTATTCAAATGTCTACCTTAGATTATTTGTAAAAGGGACTCAATAGTAAGTGGTGAGGACCATTAGAAAATGGAAAGATGCTCCAGATCAAGAGCTTAAAAAATATTCCTTGCCATCTATAGAGACAGAAAGTAGATTAGTTTTTTGTCTGGGCCTAAGGACAGGGGAAAATGGGAATAACTGCAGATGAGCACAAGAGATCTTTCTGGGGTGAGGAGAATGTTCTAAAGTTGGATTGTGGTAATGACTGCACAACTATGTAAATTTACTAAAAATCATTGACTCATACACTTAAAACAGGTGGATTTTATGGTATATAAATTATATGTTAATAACACCGTTAAAAAATAGTGTTAATTGAGCAGCTACATGTCTAGCCCGTGCTAAATACCACGGAGTACAAAGGAGATGAGTTACACTGTAGACAATGGGGCAGTAAGAGGTAGGATAGGAAGGGCTTATCGAAGATGGACCTGGACAGGGAAGGATCCGTGGAAGAGGATCAGTTCCTTCAAAGCTGGGTGAGATTTTGGTGGGTGAGGAGGCAGATGGCAGAACAAATAGTAAGATGGAAGGTAGGGAGGGAGACAGGAACTTGGTGTCGGGAGATGGTAGAGATGCGTCAGAGGATGGAACCATGTTGCAGAGAGCACGGCAGAGGAGTTTACATTTAAAGAGTTAGGTATTTTGAAATTGTAACTTTATGGGTTTCAAAGAGTGGCAAAGCTAGAAACAATAATGAGATTCCCTCCTGGGATCTATGACTTAGACTTATGTGACAACTAGTTGAATAGAGGAGCTTAACTTATAACTTCACAGTCCAAATAGCCAGATTTACTCTCACATAACAGAAGGGGATTTGAAGCGCTTTCTTTTTCCTATAAACACATAAACCTATATTACAATAATAAGACATGGCAATCAGTTGATCATTAGTCACTGATTACAATAGATGATATGCTAGCCATTCTTAGCTCTTGCAACTCTCTAACCTTGATCCATCTTCCTGTCCAAGGGAGAAACTGGTTCTCTCACGGGACTCTCCCCCAACCAGTTTAACCGTCTCTTGGGGCAGCCAGTTTTGAATTCTTAGCTTCCTTTTATCTTAAGTCAGTTCCCCAGGAAACACACAGCAGGATGGAGATTTACGTGCAGCAGGTTTGGAGGAGTACTCTGATTTACAAGGGAGTGAAACAAGCTGTATTGGGAAGAGAGACAATAGTGAACTGTGCTGCAATTGCAATGGTCACTGAGACCTCAGCAGACCCAAAGGAGAGCTCTGGAGCTGGAGTGGCACTACAGAGTTGATGCAAATCTAGGCAAAGGGCCTGGGCCACTGTACCCTCACATCAACCGGTTGTTGGGTGTAGGCAGTCCCAGGGAGGAAGTGTGACCTTGAGCAAAAAGCTTTGCCCAAGAACAATTCCAAAGAAGGGACTCCATCGGGAACCATCGGGAGCTAACAGTGGGCAACTGGAAGAATAGGTCCCTGGGTCCTGGAAGGGGACATCTTGGCGGTTCACTGCAGCATCCATTACACCTTCTAAGCTATTTAAGAATTAAAATAGACAGAGCTCAGTTGGTTTCTTTAAGCGCTTCTGCAGCTTCCAACCATTTTCTTTTTTTTTAAATAAAGTCTGTTCCAGAAATTCTGGAAAACAAATGACTTCATAGGAAGCCAACATTTTTTTTTTAAACAAAGATGTTTTAACAGAGTCAATGTCTTCCAGTCAAAGGCCACCAGGAACACACTCACGGTTGAACAAGTTGGGTTTATTACTCATTGCAGTGAAGGAGGAGACACACCATGGGAAACTACGGGGTGTCTCAGGACAAAGGTGCTTTAAAGAACTTGTACAGGTTTGGGCTTTCCTTGGGCGATTAGGGGGAGAGCCTAAGGAAGCAGAATTTTGCTCTGGATTTTATGCTGTCACAAAGGGGGAAGTTTTATGATTGGGTATCTCAATAAATCTTATCTACAGAGAGAAGAGATCAGATCAAGGATAAGTTGTAATTGCCAAAGAAATAACAGTCATTTAACTAGGAGAGGAGCGTGTGGGGTATTTTGAGGGTGGCACAGTGACCTTAGTTTTGTCTGTCCTCAGACAAAATTATGAAGTGGTCATGCTCTGTCTCATTTTATAGGGTCCGAGTAAGCTTGTCTGAGGTTGGAATCCTTCAAGATTGTCTGTGCCCAATAACAGAATAACATGGTCTAGCTGTGAGTGCCAGGCTGGCTTCTAGATGCCAGGGGAAGCTCTTGTTTTCTTTCTCAGCAGCCTGCACACAGGTTTCTTTTTGGCTCCTTGTAGAGATAGCTTTATATTTTAGTGAGCACTTGGTTGCAAGTGCCATGTTGTTTAGGCAAAAAGGGAGACTGTGGGAAAATTGGGAAGAGGGCAGAGATAACTAGCCCTCAAGGAGCACTAGAACCAGGGGCTAAAACACCAGCATACCTCGCATCTACTCCTCTCTGTGTGTTGGCGCCCTTGGTTTGTACTGCCGGAAGCGTAGGTGCCCAGGATCTCTTAGGCTCTCATTTGACATCAACAAGGGATTGTCATTTCCTTGTCTCAATGTTTAAAGCCCCAGAAAAGTCCTCTTATTGGCCTAGCTTGGGGAATATGTCCATACTAAAGTACTGTGGTTGCCCACTAGAACCTCATGGATAGAATGCTCTTTCCCAAGGCTGCCGTATGACACATGTAACTGGTTTACTGAACAAGCTGGAGTCAGCAAGATACAAGCAGGAATCTACGTTCTGCTTTCTTCCTCTCAAAACCCATTATATCATTTAATATTCATAACAATTTAGTGAGGAAAGGATATTACAGACGGGAGAACTGAGGCCTACAGAAGCCAAGTGATTTGTCTGAAGTCAAAAGGCAAGAATGTCCAAAATTCAAGTCCAAGTTGGCTTGGCTACAAAGCCATTGATACCCCCACCGTGACACAGAGTCTCCTTAGCTGTGGACACACTAGTAGGCAAACTGCACACTTTCTAACCGAAGGTTGAAAAAGCAGGGAGAAGAGTCTTGTTGAACATTTGTCAAATTTTCAGTCATGGTTCTCATTATTACCACTTAATAGAGCGTTTCTTATGCACCAGGCACTCTTAAGTCCTTTTTATATATTAATTCTTTTAATTCTCACCACCCAAAAGGTAGTATTATTGCCTTCACTTTAGAGATTAGGAAACTGAAGCACACGGGTTACCTAACTGGCCCAATGTCACATCTCTGCCACTTATTGGAGTCATGATTTGAACCAGTAGTCTGACCCCAGAGTCCAAACTTTAAAACTATGAAAATACTATGTGCTATGAATTGACATTGACTGTGATATGTTATCTAGAAATATGGAGAGGTTGAAGATCTGTTACTATCTCTTTAATGGCAGCATTTAAAATGGTGAAGAAATGCTCTATGCGTGAATCACATCCATAGAGCATGGAAGCTGTTAATTAGTAGTTGCCCTTTTAATTTGATAATAACAGATGGGCAAACTATTCATTGTAGCTATCTACTATAGCAGACACTGCTAGTTACCTACCCAACAAACATGCCCACCGCTCACTCTTTCTTGATTTATGGAGCCCTGATTTTGTTCACATGGCAACACGTTCAGGGAAAGTGGACCACTTCTCCAGTGCGAGGGGATGCACCAAGGTTACAAAGCAGGAAAACTCCTATTTCCCCTTTGCTGATGATTGGTTTAGGGATGGAATTTTAACCTAGTTCTGGGCAATGAAACTTAATTGGAAGTCCACTTGAGGAGCTTCTGGAAAGTATTTTGTTGCTTAGTGAGAAGGAAAGAGAGAGACTGAGCTGTACCTTTTTGTCTTGTATGTAGTTATTTGAGGAAAAGAAGGTTGGTGCTGAAGGTGCCATCTTGGGACCACCAGGAAACGAGCCATAACTCCCTGACAACCTGTGAACAAAAGACAGAGCAAGATCTTGAGTCTCTGATGACACTGGTAATTCATGGGACCATTCCCAGAACCGGCTAATTCTGGGCTTCCTGCTCTGTGAGCTCCTTCAGCATCTCAAATGCTCAAGCTTCTGTGAATGAGGTCTTCCTCTGTTACTTGCAGCTGAAAGCAGCTTAAACCCTTATCTGGGGGCCAGCCTCATGGCCAAATGGTTAAGTCCATGTGCTCTGCTTCGGTGGCCTGGGGTTCATAGGTTGGGATCCTGGGCACAGACCTATGCACCACTCATCAAGCCATGCTGTGGTGGCGTCCCACATAGAAGAACTAAAATGACTCACAACTAGAATATACAACTATGTACTGGGGCTTTAGGAAGAAAAGAAAAAAAAAACAGAGGCAGATTGACAAAAGATGTTAGCTTAGGGCCAATCTTCCTCACCAAAAAAATCATACCTAAAAAAAAAGCCCTTACGTGTCTGGTCTCTGCTCTTTCCACTACACTATATCTGCTACCACACCCAGTAGATTCAGTCATGGTCTGTTAATTATCTCTGCGATCTCAAGTCACGGTGTCTTAATTATCTCTGCAATCTCAAGCTGCTTTTTGATCAGTTTAAAGTTGTTCTTGTTTCAATATTTTTCCCTCAGAAGAATCCAGAGTCTTTAATCAAACATGAAGAAAGTTTGCCTGAGGCATTTGAAGTTTTGATTTGTTTTGTTTTCTTTGATTGTTTTTATCATTGAAAACAATACGTGCTTATTGAAAACATTCAAATAGTACAAAAATGAATAAACAAGTAAAACTAGTTATAATTTCCTTTCAGATCTTTTTTAGGATTATTCAATGTCCCTGGCATCATATACAATAAAGACTAACATCTATGGAAAGCTTGCCCTGTGCTTGGTTCTGTTCCAATTATCACGCATGTATTAATTAACGTAACTCTTACAGAATACCATTATTTGAGACAGGAAACTTAATCATCCCTGTATTACTGCTGGGGAAACTAAGGGACCGAGGGAGCCCTGGGCGTTGGTCAGTGGCAGAGACAATATGAACCTGGAAAGTCCAGCTCCAGAGTCTACCACACTGTACTATCTCTATTGTGGTGCCTAGTAGATATTTGCTGAATCAACAAATGTTTTTCATTGTTCAGAAGTTTTAAATTCTTATCATCAAATTGATAGTAGTTTTCTTTACAGCTTCTGGCCTTGGTGTCATGCTAAGAGAGGGAATTTAAATTCTTAAACAGATTCATTCCTCAGGTTGCTTGTTTTAACTTTCAGGTTTCCAAAACATAACATTTCTGCTTAGCAACATGGTCATAACTTCCTAATACTTTCTCAATGATGTTGCCAAGCGTTATTATACACATCAGAAAACCAACACCAATATAAGCAGAAGAATTTTCTCACATAAAACATTGCTTTGACGTTTCTAATCAAGTCTATCTAAATTCAACACTCTCATAGTTAGAGACAATGATTTACTGCATTTATTTTCATTTCATTGCTCTGCCTGAGACAGACCAGTACAGTACATGCCCTGGGGCTCATGCTAGGGGAACGGCATGCTACTGGTAATTAACAGAGAAGCCCGGGAGCATCTAACATCTGTCTGCAAGACTGCTGATAGATGAACAACGGGTATAAAAGACCTAACATCTTGCTAAGAATTGTTTACCATGTTTGCAATTACAGGTCATTTTCAAAGGACCGTCAAACAAAAGGATCAATCATTCATTCATTGTGCCTTCTTCGTGAGGCTGGCTGGCCAGAATGTCACATCCACTGCCCTCACTGACAATGATACTTCTGCCCATGTCCTTTTTACGATTCTTGTCATTCTCCTTGTAGATTTCAGACAATTATAATTATCATTTTAATTTGTAGCCAGCTTTTTAGAGCAAATAAACCCACTGATGACTTTCATAGAGGTACCAATATATGATCATGAACTACCCCAATAATTAATGAATACCCCAATAGTGTATTAGTTCCTAGGGCCACCATAGCAAAGTGCCACAAACTGGGTGGCTTCAAACAGCAGATCCGGGAACTAGAAGTCTGCTATGAGATGCAGGCAGGGCCAGGCTCCCTCTGAAACCCGCAGGGCAGAATCTTCCTTGCCACCTCCTGGCTTCTGGTGGTGGCCGAGAATCCTTCCCACTCCTTGGCCTGCGGCCACATCGCACCAGTCTCTGCCTCCGTCATCACACAATGTCTTCCCTGTGTGTTTGTGTTCAGACTTTTCTCTTCTTTTTTTTTTATTTTTTTATTTTATTTTTTTTTAAAGATTTTATTTTTTCCTTTTTCTCCCCAAAGCCCCCCAGTACATAGTTGTATATTCTTCGTTGTGGGTCCTTCTAGTTGTGGCATGTGGGACGCTGCCTCAGCGTGGTTTGATGAGCAGTGCCATGTCCGCGCCCAGGATTCGAACCAACGAAACACTGGGCCGCTTGCAGCGGAGCGCTCGAACTTAACCACTCGGCCAAGGGGCCAGCCCCAGACTTCTCTCTTCTTAAGAGTGCAGTGGTGATATTGGATTAGGGCCCAACCTAATGACCTTTCCTTAAAGGTCCCATGCCCAAGAACTGGGGGTTAGGATTCAAATATATCTTTTTGAGGGACACTAGTCAACCCATCACAGATAGGACACATGCAAACACACTTTTGAGATAGAATACTTTCCAGGCTGGGATCTCGAAAAGTGTGCAGATTCTTTGTAGCCTTAGTCACGGTATCCGTATACTTAAAGAAAATCGTGTGCACAAAAGGGAAGTAGTTAGTAATGGAAGCACAGAGTTATCTAAAGTTAGAGAGCCAAAGACAGGTCGGGAAACACCCCACTGCTTATGTAGGGTTGCTCTTCCAAGAAGGAGGAGGGCAATCGGCCCTTGTGGTTAATGTTCCCTGGATATGAACCATATGACTCAAGCCCCTTGCTTTGATTCTATGCTCATCTAACAGTCTTTCAACTTCATTTCATCTTAACAGGAATTCCTCTCCAGGGACAGAGCAGAGGACAACTCTACGGTTGTACAACTACTAGTTAATACATTTGAGTTGAGGTTTATGCATCAGTATTTTATAAGTCAGGCTAGTGGGGCTCCATCCTAGTTCTATCAGATTTCCAAGCCTGAAGAATCAGCAACCCTGAGATGTGGCAGTGAACCAGTGCTGCTCCCAAGGGAGTGTGTGAGTTGGATCGGGCTTCACTTGCCAATGGCTCTTCTTTGCTGCCTATCCCTGCAAATTACATTACTTATGTTCAGAATTAATTAAATGATTAGCAGCTTAAACACTGAAAGTGCATACTCTAGAATGATCTCTACTTGCATTGAGAATGACCTAATGTATTGAGGATCGAATTGTTCTATGAATCAGAATCAAGATCCTTATGAAAGAAACAAACAAAAAATCTTTAGGAAACAGCTTTGCAATCCTGGATGAGTGCTGGATGAAAATGGTCCAACATTCTGGACCTCTGAGGCTACCAGATGCGTTACTACGAAAGAGGAGCAATGAGAAGATGAGCAACGTTGATGGTCCAGCCCCAGCCTGCTGTCCTCACATGATGCTGGAGTTGGCACGGCTTTCCTCATCTGACCCTGAATGTCTGCCTCTAGTTTCCGTTGCTGCTCTCAGATACGTCTGTTACTCATTCCCTCTTTCTCCCATTTTGATTCTTCACTGTGTGCTGATGCTTTATATGCTGACAACTGCATGCTCTTCCCTCTCCTAACATCCAAGGCCTTTTATAATCTGACCGTTATCCTCCTTGTCTCTTACTTCTCTTACGCACATATGTGTTCTTTCCTCAAGCTAATGGGGACTGTCATGGCTGCCCCACACTTACCGTGTGACATGAAGCTGATTAGTCCACCATGTGGGAAGGGAACATCTCCTTTTTTACATCTCAGTGCTCCACCCAACCTTGTAGTAGAAAAGTGCCCAGTACATGTTTACGAGTGGGAGTTGGATGCAGAAAAGGGACCATGACAGAATGTGGCTACCTCAGGCAGACGACCGCTTAGCTGTCTCCAAGAAGATGCAGAGTTGGCATTACCACAGAAACTTACTGGGGCTCAGAATCCAGTTTGATAACTTGTAAAACACGAAAGTGTATAATCATGAATGCCGGTCAATTTATTCACCATCAGACCTATTCATCTCCTCGCCCTCCCTCCCTAGACCAGAACAGAAACTCTCACCCAACATTAATGCACAAACCCTGTCAATATCTTTTTTTAAAATTTTGCTCAAAACTGACACCACTCTCCTGCAGATATTAACACTCTGCACTCTCCTTCACATGCATTTCTTCAAATTTAGCAAAATGCAGTTTATTCCACTTAATACAAAAACTCTTACATTTCATATCTGCCCTTGAGTTTGTATCCAAACCAGTCTGATTATAGTTTGAGTTCTCAAACATTTTGGTTATTAACTCTCTTGATTCACTCCAATAGGAGTTTAAACACACACATTGTAGTACGTGAATTTTCCTCGTTTAGCCATCAGAGCCCAAACTTATTTCCAAGTTCTCGGCTGAGGCTCTGGCTGCTGTTGCCCTATGTCATCTTATTGACCCACTTTGAACATGGCCCCGAGGTGGGAAGAGTGGGCACTGTTGTTTCAAGTCGACGCCCCTGAATACACCTTTAATTTTTATTAACCTTCCCTCATATCAGAGAGCTGGCCCTCTCCCTGACCTGGCACATTTGGTCTGTCAGACTGGATAAGTTCCAGATCTTTTGGAACCAGGCTTATCTTTCTCAGGGCTGTGTTCAAATTCCTAGCCCTCAGCCCAGAGCTCTGAGAGTCTGGTGAAGCTCTGAGGGTGATGGAGAAATTGGAGAGTGTTCCTTTAAGGTAGGAATCAATGAGGAGGGGAGCCAGAGAGTCTGCCGTGGAAGCAGCTCCTAGCTGCAGCCTGGGGCCCAATTAGCGCGGAGCTAAGCCGGGGTTTTGTTTAGCTTAGCAACCGCCAGCGCCCTCCCGGGCCGTCGGCGGAGGCCCAAACCTCTGCCCTCCGCTCGTGGTGGCGCTGGCAGTTGAAGCATGTCACCTCGGTGGGCTCCGGGACCTTTGGCCCTCGGGGTCTGGTAGTACGGGGACAGGGCAGGAACTGCTCCCCGCAAGGGGTGGCCACGATCCCTCCTGCCTTCTGCAGCCTGAGCACCCTGCGGGCGGCCCTGGGCTTCGCGGAAGGTCAGTCCGACGGGGTGCGGGGCTGAGCGCGGGAGAGGCTCCTCCGTGCCGAGAGCGCACCAAGGCCGCCGAGGCTCCGCGGCATGCGGGGACCCCAGGACCCTCGTCGCCGCCTGGGGCCCCGTCCGATCCCTGGGAGCAGCGGTGGATGGAGCCTTGCAGCCTGATTCCCGGGGATCTTCAAATACGGGCAGCCGCGGGGACAGCACTTCCAAGGCTGGGACATGAAGGTCGCTGTGTTGGACCTTGGGTCTCTCTTTGCCAAAATCTTCAAGACCTCGACGGCGCCCCCGGCCGTCCCCTCCCCGGTCGCCTCCTCCAGCCACTCGGGAGGCGCTGCCAGCGCAGGGCGCGCGGGCTCCGGGGCGGGCAGCTCGCTTAGCACGGCCACGACCCTGACCCTCTTCCCGGCCCTGGCGCCACACTCCCCTTCTGCCTCGCGGGGGGCGCCCGTCCCGCTCCATCCTCTGCTCACCGCCTCCTACCCCAGGGTCTCGGTCGCGAGACGCGCAGCAGAAGCAGTAGGGACCCTCGTCTCGCTGCCCAGTAGCCCGAGGGTAACCAAAGGTCAGCCCCTGCCCCTACCCCAGCCCCTAGCCCTGACCCCTTCCGGCGGTGGCTGCAGCGCCGGGGGCTCCCCCGCGCACCTGGTGGCCTTGGCGCGCCCGCCCCCGGGCCCTGGCGGGGTCTGGGCGGCGCTGCCGTCCATCGGGGGCGCCACGGGCAGCGGCAGTTTAGCCTCGAGCCCAAGGAACCTCCGCTCGGCCGGCCCCGGAGAACGAGAGCCCAGCGCTGGGATTCCCCCCGGGCCTGGCGCCAAGACCCTGTTCTTCACCCTGCCCGACATCGGCGAGGAGTGGGCCTCGGACGGCGACTCGGAGGATGGCGGAGAAGCGTGAGTAGCGGCCCGCTCCGGGCACCGCTTGTCTTTCACTGGACCCCTACCCCTCCGCCTTTAGAAAATCGCGCTATTTGCCATAACTTCCAGCTACTCCCCTGGGCGTCCTGCTTGCATTTTTCCTGGGTCCTCCTTGTTCCTTGGCTTTCTGTTCTTTTCAAACATACGCTGTGACATGTGATAATCCTCTGCTGTTTACCAGCGGAGAGGGAGGGGAGATGACGCAGGGCATGAATGATGACGGAAAGAAGGACAGAATTGTTTCTCTTCTAGCTGAAGCGTGGACACTGACAGTCTGGTTGTCTCAAGGACTTTGAAAGGAGGCTTCAAGTCCCTTTCTCTGATGCAGAATGTGGCAGGTGTGTAGGGTGACCCAATACATACGTTGGCAGCTACTATTTTAAGAAATAGTGAGACACTGTGCCTCCCCACTTTTCCGGGATCAGCCCCAATTCTTATCCCAAGTGAGATGGGTTTTCTCTGTGAGACATCTAGTTAATTTACATATGCGTAACATCATCTGACACAAACGAAATTTGTAATGCTAAGGACGCATCTGATTATATACCCCATGCCTCCTGAGTTCTTCCAGAAACTTTGCCTGACTTCGTGGGAACGTTTTCACGGAGAATTGGAGGGCACTTCCTCCAACACACACACACACACACACACACACACACACTATCCTTTCGCCACCAAGAGCAGTGATGAAAACATTCCCCTTGTAAAATGTGTATTTTAGAATTAAGGTGAATTTTATTTTTTAATGAGCAGAACATATGGTCTTATTCTTATTCTCAGAACTCATTCTTAAGTGAGTTCAAAAATGTTCAGCCTTCTGAATCCTACAAACCAATAGCGACTGGTCAAAGGCAGACGAGAAGGGCCCATTCAAGGATGGAGATTTCTGCCTTGCAATCTTGTGAAGGAAGAATAGTCAGGCCTGCTAGCACAGAAGCTCCCCCTGTCCCCCAAAAAATAGACCGGAGAACTTTCTATCAAGACTGATTCCAACCCATTCATAATTTAACTACATTTTCACAAACTGTGTGACATTCATCTCAGAGCTAACATAAGCAGTTACATAATAAGTTGTTTCTTTTCATTTAAAACATCATATTACAAAATATATTAATCAACAGATTTTTTTCCCTAAGGAAAATCAATTGCATTTGGATAAGTGGCTAGAATATGTATACCTAAGGAATTAGACCTTTGTTATTGGCTACTGGTCCTTAACGTTTATGCAATTAATGTTTTATGTGCAAACAGATCTACACACTGACCTTAAACTCTAGTCTTAGTGCTTTTTACAAACAGTCAGTGAAACATTCAGCACGACCAGTGAAAGAACTGGTGTTGGTTTCCATTTGTGAGCATCTGAGTCCATGTTTGTATTGTCCAAGAATTTTTAACAGATGCTTTTTGAATAGCACTATATTTGGCTTTACTTATAGACGTGACTATTCTGCATTAGCAAATGTATCCAATTTTACTGAAAGTACACACACTGAATTTTAGATAACTGCCATGAGAAATCACATGCATGGATCTTTCTGATTACCTGTGTTTGTACACCTTGTGGGACATTAGACAGCTCTCTGAGTACACCATTTTTCTTTGTTACATATGCAAATAGTCATATTCTCTTCCTTTCATACATCATTCCTTTTTTAATCATAAAGTTTACCAAGGGACAATGGCAAAGGAAGAACATACGAAGGTGATTTTTCCTTCAATGCTATAGACCAATTACCTTGAAGTATTTTTTTTCCCTTCTATATTTCTGGGGTGGCTATTTATAACATTGAATAAACAAACATCATTCAACAATTGATTTAAATTATACAACTACCACCTCACCTGCCAGTTTGCAGATAGCTGCTACTAAATATTAACCTGCTTGATTAATATTAATATAGCATATTTAATTTTCTAAATCCCAGGGACATAGAGATGGGGAAGTGGTTAAAGCAAGAATAAGAGAAAAAAAGAGTAGGCAGAGAGAATGTGGATACATGTAAGACACAGGTAAAGAAATCTTTGAGAAACGTTAGTCTAATTTTAAGACCACTACACTCAGTTACAAAGGAGAATCTTCATTCACAGTTTATACTTTTTTGAAGAAAACCCACACACTTTACATTTGACCTGATTCTCTACTTGGCTTTTGTTAACACTGAAAATTATGAAATTAATTTGACTGGGAAAATATGCAAACTTTCTTTCAATTCAGAGCCTTTTTTTCCCCCACTAAGATGCTATATAGCAACATGAGTTTTGATCTATGACCCATGGATTAGACAAATGAATGGCTTGTGGAAGGGCGGGGGGCGGGGGTTGTCCTTTTCATTCCGCAGGGCGTAGTGGCTGCAACATCTGAAGCAGAGGTGGGGTTCATTTCATTGATACTTTGTGCCTCATTTACATTGTTTTTCAATCCCACCCATTCCTCTTCACTATCTCCTTTGAGAACTTCGGGTCAGAACTACACAATTATCACTTTGTAAAAGGTGTTATTCTGTTTGTTCTGGAAATATAAGAATTTCTAACAGTAGATAAGGTAGGTAGACAGACAGATAAACTGCTGTATGTGAATGTTGGTAGATTGTAAACTTCATGTGGTCAGGAAGTACTTACATCTTTCGTGAGTTGTAGCTGTTAGCATGGGTTCCATTGTTAAAGCCATGTTAGTGTGGAAATACTGCACCGCTCCCTGCAGGGCTGGTTAACTTGGCTGGCAGTACCATGAATGCAGGGTCTTCTCTCTCAATTCAGCCATTACTGAGGCAGCCTAGAGCTGAGATGACCCAGGAATCAGATGAGTTGAATTCCAATCTCAAACCGTTTTCTAGCTGTGTAATTCTGGGCAGGTTATTCAGTTTTCCAAACTGGAGGTTTTCCTCCTTAAAATGAGGATGATAATAATACTTTCCTCACAGGGATGTTCCACAAATTAATTGAATTACTGTTTTAAGTGCCTAACACATGGAGGAATGCTTTAAAAGTATTATCTTTGATTGCTATCTGCTTCTTAGCACAGAAGTAAAATTTGAAAATGTTTCATTAAAGGATACATTCCAGATGAAGAAAAGAGTGACAGAAAAAATAATTCATTTGTATTTATCACATGACTGTAATAAATGGCATCTTTTACTTCAATTATTTGAGAGAACAAATTCAGTACACTCTAATCTTTCATCATTTTCTGTGCACAACTCACAGAAGATAAAGGGTGCCTTAATTAGTATTACCACGGATTGCTGTGCAATACCTAGAAGAAATGTGTCTGCCACTCTGGGATCGAACTGTTAATTTTTCAGTTTTAGAGACAATGCAGGATAATCAACAGCCTTGCAAATCGTCCCTGGGCCGCCCCTTGCAGAGCCTTGCCCGTTCCCACCTGGTAGGCCTGTGTTTTATTTTCACACCTTACATCCTTTTTAGACTCTTTGTCTGTCCTATGACCCTTAAGAGAACACATGCCTGCAAAAGGCATTTAATAACATTTTTGGGTGAATGAATGACAATATTTTCTTCCTCATATAATCTGCTTTCATGGATTTTAATCTTGTGAAAGTCTAGAGGCAGTTTAAATGTCCTTCTTTAAGAATAATTGTTGTCTTGGACCTTTTTGTTTTGTTGTCTTGGAGTTTTCCCAAAGTTAGTAATGCCTTCTGCTGGGACTTTGCATTTCCACAGGGATGAATGGTGAGCTCAGTAGACAATTGTTATATGACTATTACAGTCCTGCGTCGCTTAACAACGGGGATACGTTCTGAGAAATGCATCATTAGGTGATTTTGTCATTGTGCACACATCACAGAGTGTACTTACGCAAACCTAGATGGTATAGCTTCCTACACACCCAGGCTATATGCGCCTCATCTTATGGGACTACTGTCACATATGTGGTCTGTCATTGACCGAAAGGTCATTATGCAGCTTGTGACTGTACTTTCTGTTACAGTCATATGACCATTACTTTCATTAAAAATAGTAATAAACTTGACTTGGTTGTCCCTGTCTAACATTTGCTGAAACCCAAGAAAACAATTTTGTTATTACTGACTTATGCAATAGTTTTTTTTTTTTGCTGAGGAAGATTCACCCTGAGCTAATATCTGTTGTCAATCTTTTTCATTTTTGCTGAGGAAGATTCGTCCTGAGCTAACATCTGTCGCCAGTCTTCCTCTTTTTGTATGTGAGCCACCACCACAGCATGGCCACTGATGAGTGGTGTAGGTCTGCACCCGGGAACTGAACCTGGGTCACCAAAGTGGAGCATGCCGAATGTAACCACTTGGCCATAGGGGCGAGCCTTGCAATCGCTTTTTAAAATTTAAATTATTTTCTCTATTATATTTAAAATCTCAAAAATTATATTTGAGGTAATAGTTGTATGTTTTGCTGTGTATTTAAAGAACATTTTGAATATTTTTAGTGTAATAGCTAACATGTATATAACACTTGATATGTGCCAGGTCCATAACCACAATCCTATGATGTAGGATTTGAATCCAAGTTCTGAAATTGTAGTAGCTAATTTAAATTAGTATAGTTTTTAGAGCACAGGTGTGAAGTCAGATTGATTTTTACTCAAATCCCACTTAATAATTTTTCTGAGAATATTAAGAATAGAATATCAATTCAATATTCACCTTGAGTACCTTACTTAACGTCTTAAAGCCTCACTTTCTTACCCATGAAATGAGAATTAATAGTAACACCTATTCAAAGAGATATTGTAAACAGTAAAAGAGATAATATATAAAAACTTCTCTCTAATGGTGGCTGGTACATAAGCTCCCTCAAAAATAGCTACTACTATTAGTTTATAATTCTCATTATTCTAAATACATTTTTATTTTATTTATCACCCACAATCAGCATCCTTTGTACAAAGTACAGTTTATTGCTATGACCTGCGGGAAAGGTTAATACATTATTTTCCAAACATTCATTGTTAGCCTGTATTTATAAAATATCTATTCCAT